TAGTAGTAGTAGTAGTAGTAGTAGTGTAAGTAGTAGTTAAGTAGTAGTAGTAGTAGTGTAGTAGTAGTAGTAAGTGTAGTAGTAGTAAGTATAGTAGTATAGTAAAGTAGTAGTAGTAGTAGTAGTAGTAGTAGTAGTAGTTAGTAGTAGTAGTAGTTGGTAGTAAGTAGTAGTAGTAGTAGTAGTAAGTAGTAAGTAGTAGTAGTAGAAGTAGTAACAATACAATACCAGACTATCCAACATTGAAAAATACGGAAATACCACCATAATTGACAGAGTGGGAGTCTACACTTGGGGTCCCTTGACACTAGTGTTTGCTACACCTCACCACCAGGTTACACAACTTTCAAACACATGGAGACAATTTCAAAGTAGTATATGCTTTGAAATTGTGTCCATCATTTTGAAACACCCTGTACATTCATCTCCAGAGATTATATGTAGTATGTACATCTTACACAGAATTATACATTGTTAACCCTCACACCTTACAAGTTTCTCATGTGGGAGGCACTAAACCCTGAGGGTTCATATATCTGTGATTAGATTTGATTCAAGGGAACAAGGGTTCATTGTTGTGGATGTTGTGTTTGATTCAAAGGGATGATGTTCCATCACTTGCATATGTCAATTCAACAGAATGAGGTCCAATCCCTTGTATATTACTTTGAATTCAACGGAATGCAGTCCAATCCCTTGTATATTATACTTTCAATTCAATGGAATGAGGTCCCATCCCTTGTACGTACAGTGGACCCCCGCATAACGATCACCTCCGAATGCGACCAATTATGTAAGTGTATTTATGTAAGTGCGTTTGTACGTGTATGTTTGGGGTTCTGAAATGGACTAATCTACTTCACAATATTCCTTATGGGAACAAATTCGGTCAGTACTGGCACCTGAACATACTTCTGGAGTGAAAAAATATCGTTAACCGGGGGTCCACTGTATACTATATTCAATGGAACGACATCTGATCCCTTGTATATGACATCAATTCAACGGAACGAGGTCTGATCCCTTGTATACTATATTCAACGGAACGAGATCCAATCCCTTGTACAGTGGAACCTCGTTTTTCGGCTGCTGTATTTATCAGCCAATTTGTATTTAAGCCAGTTTTTTGGCGGAAAATTTCCTCTGTATTTTGGCCGTTGCCTCATATATTGGATGTATTAGACCCGTCAGCCCGCCTCCTGCGTAGGTGAGTCAGTCTCCCTGTGTCTCTCAATGAATGAGCATATACTCTGTGCATTCATCCAAACATTTCCATAAAATCCATTGGTTTTTGTGCTTCTTCATCAAGTGAGATTGTGAAATAAGCCGCCATGGCGCCCAAAGAAAGTTCAGTGCCAGCCCTTTGGTAAAGAAAGTAAGAAACACGATGGAATTTAAGAAAGAACTTATTGAAAAATATGAGAGTGGTGTTCGAGTGCTAGATTAATTGTATTTACATTAATTCTTATGGGAAATATTGCTTTGAATTTAGGCCGACCTTCTGGAATGGATTATGGCCAAAAAACGAGGTTCCACTGTATATGACATCAATTCAATGGAACGAGATCCAATCCCTTGTATATGACATCGATTCAATGGAACGAGATCCAATCCCTTGTATATGACATCAATTCAATGAAACGAGATCCAATCCCTTGTATATGACATCGATTCAATGGAATGAGATCCAATCCCTTGTATATGACATCGATTCAATGGAACGAGATCCAATCCCTTGTATATGACATCAATTCAATGGAATGAGATCCAATCCCTTGTATATGACCGATTCAATGGAATGAGATCCAATCCCTTGTATATGACATCAATTCAATGGAACGAGATCCAATCCCTTGTATATGACATCGATTCAATGGAACGAGATCCAATCCCTTGTACATGACATCGATTCAATGGAATGAGATCCAATCCCTTGTATATGACATCAATTCAATGGAATGAGATCCAATCCCTTGTATATGACATCGATTCAATGGAATGAGATCCAATCCCTTGTATATGACATCGATTCAATGGAACGAGATCCAATCCCTTGTATATGACATCGATTCAATGGAATGAGATCCAATCCCTTGTATATGACATCGATTCAATGGAACGAGATCCAATCCCTTGTATATGACATCGATTCAATGGAATGAGATCCAATCCCTTGTATATGACATCGATTCAATGGAACGAGATCCAATCCCTTGTATATGACATCAATTCAATGGAATGAGATCCAATCCCTTGTATATGACCGATTCAATGGAATGAGATCCAATCCCTTGTATATGACATCGATTCAACGGAATGAGATCCAATCCCTTGTATATGACATCGATTCAATGGAACGAGATCCAATCCCTTGTATATGACATCGATTCAATGGAACGAGATCCAATCCCTTGTATATGACATCGATTCAATGGAATGAGATCCAATCCCTTGTATATGACATCGATTCAATGGAACGAGATCCAATCCCTTGTATATGACATCGATTCAATGGAATGAGATCCAATCCCTTGTATATGACATCGATTCAATGGAACGAGATCCAATCCCTTGTATATGACATCAATTCAATGGAATGAGATCCAATCCCTTGTATATGACCGATTCAATGGAATGAGATCCAATCCCTTGTATATGACATCGATTCAACGGAATGAGATCCAATCCCTTGTATATGACATCGATTCAATGGAACGAGATCCAATCCCTTGTATATGACATCGATTCAACGGAATGAGATCCAATCCCTTGTACATGACATCGATTCAACGGAACACGGTCCGATTCCTTGGATCAAAATCCCTTGTAGCTTTAAAAAACTGAAATAAAACCAGCTGTCTCATAAAGCTGTTTTATATTATGAATGAACTTTGAAGACCTTACCACCTGATGTTCAATTCTGGGTGAACTTTTTCATAGTTACAGAGAAAAGTGAACTTTATGGAGCTTTATAAGTGAGCTTTTTCAGAGAAAATTGAACTTTATAGTGTTTTTCAAGGGAGCTTTTTCATAGTTACAGAGAAAATTGAACTTTATAGAGCTTTATAAGGGAGCTTTTTCATAGTTACAGAGAAAATTGAACTTTATAGAGCTTTATAAGGGAGCTTTTCATAGTTACAGAGAAAATTGAACTTTATAGAGCTTCATAAGGGAGCTTTTTTCATATTAAAAGAAAAGTTAATTTTACAGAGCTTTACACATGAACTTTTTCAATCATATAAAAGAGAAAAATGACTTTATAGAGCTGTATATTACATTCATAGAGCTTTAATCATACTTACAAAAACTGAACTTTAAAAAGCTTTACATGAGAACTGTGACCCACAACAGGTGCCAAGAGTCTCTTGATCCAGAGACCTGGAGCTGCCCTACCCCTTCCCTTTGAATCAATCCCAATCACACCCGACCCCTACAGGTTTAGAGCTCTCCCGTCAAATGCACCTCACAAGTTGAAGCACGATCAACTTCTCCCTCAATCCACAATTTTCCAGCAACGGAACAATTGATCAATTTCTTATTAAGTACCAAAACTCCCCCCCCCCCTCAAAAAAAAAAAATCCAAAAATTAAAAAATTGATTTTTTCCATAGTGAAATTTCCCCATTAATGCATTTTACAAATATATTTAATTTTCGTCTTCAACCATTTTCTGGAGACAACAATTTTGAAAATTTCCAAAAGTTTGGAAAATTGAAATATTAAAAAAAAACAAAAATCAATTTTTCCATGTTCTGTAAATTCCCATTAATACATTATACAAATGTATTCAATCAATTTTTTCCCTCAATTAACAATTTTCTGGAGATGTAACAACTTTGAAAATTTCCAAAAATAAAAAAATTGGAAATTTTCAAAAAATTGATTTTTACATGTTGAAATTTTCCTGTTAATACATTTCACAAATATATTCAACCAATTCTTCAATCATCAATTTTCTAGTGATGTAACAATTTATACTTCTCGTTAAGTACCTTAACTCCCCCAACAATTATTCGTTTCGAACCGAGAGCAGAAAATTGAATGAATGGCGGAACTCTTCCGCTTTGTTGTGTAATGCAGTTGTTGTATTGTGGCAGATGTTTGTGTAGGGAGGAGTGGATTGATGTATAGTGCACCTCCACTACCCGGCGCTCTCGATGCACTCTTGGCATGGAGGAAGGCAGGTGCACCCTAGGCAAGGAGGGCAGGTGCACCCTAGGTAAAGAGGAAGGACAGGTGCACCCTAGGCAAGGAGGGCAGGTGCACCCTAGGTAAAGAGGAAGGACAGGTGCACCCTAGGCAAGGAGGGCAGGTGCACCCTAGGTAAAGAGGAAGGACAGGTGCACCCTAGGTAAAGAGGAAGGCAGGTACACCCTAGGCAAGGAGGAAGGACAGGTGCACCCTAGGCAATGGGCAGGTGCACCCTAGGTAAAGAGGAAGGCAGGTGCACCCTAGGCAAGGAGGAAGACAGGTGCACCCTAGGCAAGGAGGAAGGCAGGTGCACCCTAGGCAAGGAGGAAGGCAGATGCACCCTAGGCAAGGAGGGCAGGTGCACAGTAGGCAAGGAGGAAGGCAGGTGCACCCTAGGCAAGGAGGGCAGGTGCACCCTAGGCAAGGAGGAAGGCAAGTGCACCCTAGGCAAGGAGGGTAGGTGCACCCTAGGCAAGGAGGAAGGACAGGTGCACCCTAGGCAAGGAGGAAGGCAGGTGCACCCTAGGCAAGGAGGAAGGCAGGTGCACCCTAGGCAAGGAGGACAGGTGCACCCTAGGCAAGGAGGAAGGCAGGTGCACCCTAGGCAAGGAGGAAGGCAGGTGCACCCTAGGCAAGGAGGACAGGTGCACCCTAGGCAAGGAGGAAGGACAGGTGCACCCTAAGCAAGGAGGGACAGGTGCACCCTAAGCAAGGAGGAAGGACAGGTGCACCCTAAGCAAGGAGGAAGGACAGGTGCACCCTAAGCAAGGAGGAAGGACAGGTGCACCCTAGGCAAGGAGGAAGGACAGGTGCACCCTAAGCAAGGAGGAAGGACAGGTGCACCCTAAGCAAGGAGGAAGGACAGGTGCACCATCAACATGGAAGAACAGGTGCACAATGACACTAGATTACCTCATCAAGTGCACATTAATGTGTATCCAACCAGGTCAATACATCAACCCTGACCACCGGATGAAGCTGAACACTTCATCCAGTTCGATGTACCAACCGGATGACAGTGAACACCTCATCTGGTTCAATGTTCCAACCGGATGGTGAACACATCATCCGATTCGATGTACCAACTGAATCAAGTTGAACACCTCATCTGGTTCATGGTACCAACTGGATTAATTTGAGCGCCGGGTTGCCAATGATCCGCTGTACAGAACAAAATCAATTACATTCAGGAATGTTACTCTCCACATGATGCTCTACATTTACATTCTTCAAAATCATAAAAGTACTGAGGTGCTGGCGACACTCTCAGAGAACAGGTGAGAATGGAGCCTTTGTCATAGTTCTTGGCACCTCTGCACAACTGACAATGGTTTCAAGTCACCTTTGGTATAACTATCACATCATATCACTGAGATACACTTGGTAAGTTACGATATTTCCTTGCCAAGTTGAGGAGGAGGCGTTCGCAATACAAAGTGCGGCGGGATAGTCGGCGACTATTTTGACCACTTGTTCTCACTGCCGAACTATTCCCACCATTTGAAAACTATTTTTACAAAACGTGTGTTAAATAAGTTCTCTCCTGTAACAACACTGTACATGAGATCGTTCAGTAGTAAGTAACAGATGAGCGGCAAATTGCCGTCCTCACGACTAGGCAGTCTGATACAAAATTTTAGCGGCGAACAAACCTCATTGGGTGATGAGTATGACGAGTACCTTTGTTGATTCACATATTCATCAAGCACAAATACTGATTGATTTGCTTTCATGATAGACTATTAAGGAAAAAAATATTCTTGTTTGGTAACTACTTGTAGTTCAATGTAGTTTTTTGAATGGGTTTAGAGAGGAGCCTCATCAAACTGGTCTAGAGTTTTGTCTGCCGCTGATGTGAAAGACTGGTGTGGGGTCGGGCTAGAACAAAGCCCTATTGATCACAACACATGCGGACGGGAGCGGAAAGGCCAGCCCAGGGCTTGGTGACTTGCTTAGCAAACATTTTCTATATAAAAAAAAAAGAATGAAAAACTGGTAGTTACAATCACCACTGATGTTTAAGCACACGTGTTTGGTGTCCAAACGAGCTGACCACTTTTCCATACTCCACACGCTCGTTTGGTTGTTTCAGGAGCGCTAGAGGGGGCCACTGTTCATGGCTTCATACCCACATTCTCATTTGAACCACAGATCCACCAATTTTTTAATTAACACATCAGGCATCTCCCACCGAGGCAGGGCAACCCGAAAATGAAGAAACACTTTCATTGTCACTCACTCCATCACTGTCTTGCCAGAGGCATGTCTACACTACAGTTCAAAAACTGCAACATATCTCCACACCTCCAGAGCACAGGCACTGTACTTCCCAGTTCACTGTAATTATCCACTACACTATGTTCATTCCCAGTACCACTGGTTCCTTCTACTGTTCAGCCCATTGTGATTTTGAGCATGAAGATTTGATTTCCGATCAGGCATGAGATGATATAACAACTCTCTTCTTTGTGTGGGCAAATGAATACAAGTTTTATCTTAGAAATTATTCCCAGGACCAATGGAATGACCTGGATCCGTACAAAATTCTTATAAAAGTAGCAAATTAAGTTCTGGACCAAACTTAAGATGAACGACACTCGATGTTTAACAAATAATATGCTAAAATAATTAAAAACAACCATCAAGAATTAAAAAGCCCTCTTAGAAAATCTGCCAGCCTGTTGGATGCCCGGCGCAAGCCGTCCAAGCATCCATCCCCCTCCGGTGCTCCTCCGTGATGTGAACACCAAGCAGGACAACCTCCGTGATTCATCAGGGCTAGCTCCTGGGCTGGAGGGCCGCCACACAGAGCGAAGTCATTATGACCTGAGGTGGTGACACACAAGAGAGATGCACCCAGACCTGAGTTACCCGCTGAGTCATACCCCAGTGGGGGAGTGTTGGTGTTGGTGGTTGTGGTGGTGATGGTAGCAGAGGCCCTACCACTGCTGTTAATGCTGCTGCTGCTGCTGCTACTGCTGCCACGAATGGAGTAATGCTGCAGATGGAGTGGCGACGGTGACCGGGGATTGTGATGATGGTAGAGCAGATGATTGTTGTGAGCAATAACGTGATGAGAACAATTGTGATGAGTTATCTGGTTGCCAGGATGATACTGATGAAAAGCAGCCTGAGAATACTGGTGGCCGGGATGTCTGTGGACCTCAGACGTGCCACAAATGTCGCCACCGCGGGAGAGCGCCGCGCCGCGACCTACGCCACCCACAGCATCAACACTCCCACAGCATCTTGCATCCCTAAGGTTCAGCGAATGCTAGCAGCGCCGGTTTCTCCAGTAGCTCATGTAGTCCTGAAACAACAGTACAATGGTGGGAAAACTTAACCCTTTTATATTGTCAACATTTATACCTTAATTACAGTCACTTCACTTATAAAGCTCCTTTATATACAGTCACTTCACTTATAAAGATCCTCTATATACAGTTCTTTTATAAAGTTCCTCTATATACAGTCAGTTCTCTTATATAGTTCCACTATATACAGTCAGTTCTCTTTTAAAGTTCCACTAAATACAGTCAGTTCTCTTTTAAAGCTCCACTATATACAGTCAGTTCTCTTATAAAGCTCCACTATATACAGTCAGTTCTCTTATAAAGCTCCTCTATATATATGGTCATTTTTTGGGTAAATGTAACTAAAAAAAAAATGACAGTTTAGCCAACACTGAACAGCAAATACTATGAACACCTTTCCGCATATTGTTCAATTTTCAATGTACAGATGCTCCTTGCTTTATGATGGTTCGACTTACTGCATTTCAACTTTACGATGGTTCGACTTATAGTATTTCAACTTTACGATGGTTTGACTTACAATATTTCAACTTTATGATAGTTTGACTTACAATATTTCAACTTTACGATGGTTTGACTTACAATATTTCAACTTTACGATGGTTTGACTTACAATATTTCAACTTTACGATGGTTTGACTTACAATATTTCAACTTTACGATGGTTTGACTTACAATATTTCAACTTTACGATGGTTTGACTTACAATATTTCAACTTTACGTTGGTTTGACTTACAATATTTCAACTTTACGATGGTTTGACTTACAATATTTCAACTTTACGTTACTTCAACTTACAATATTTCAACTTTACGTTGGTTTGACTTACAATATTTCAACTTTACGCTGGTTTGACTTACAATATTTCAACTTTACGATGGTTTGACTTACAATATTTCAACTTTACGTTGGTTTGACTTACAATATTTCAACTTTACGATGGTTTGACTTACAATATTTCAACTTTACGTTGCTTCAACTTACAATATTTCAACTTTACGTTGGTTTGACTTACAATATTTCAACTTTACAATGGTGCAGCAACAATAACTTTGGAGATGAAACATAAGATAATTATCCAGCATGAAGGCGGCAAGTCCCTAACTTTTATTCATTTCCTGACTTTTCAATACTGGTATTTATTTAATTACACTAGTTATTTGTTTATTGACTTATTCACTGACAGCAGTTACATAATCACATTTGACATGCAACATTTTCGACTTGTGATGCATTCATCAGAATGTAACTCCATCATAAGTCGAGGACCACCTGTAGTTTTCCAACTGTATTTACAAAAAATTTACACTATATAGAGGAGAATTTTACATGAGAATTGACTGTAAAATAAAATATACACACAGTGGCTAAGTAAATTAACCAAGCATCAAGTTAAGTTGCAGACATGTTGCCCTCCTGGCACTGCAACTTAAGGCCCACTGCTTGCCAAGTTTTGCAACTTGTAGACAATTTGAGGAAGTTTGCTCTCTGAACACACCCAAGTTCCACAGGAGCCTAAGTTCGGTTTTTAAAAGCACGTTTGTGTAGCCTTGAGCATTTGTACGAGTGGACAAATATCATGTAGGAAGTCTTCGAATTTACCATGTTGAGAATCTTTTGTATTATATATAATGTTCATAATACAGGAAGTCTTCAACTTACAAACACATTGGGGACCTCCTGAATTGTGTATAATAATATTAATCACAATGATATAATGATATTATACACAATGCTATAATGATATTATACACTATACAGAAGATTCTTAAAGTGTTTAAGTCGAGGACTTACTGTAGTAATATCACTGTTAGTAGTAGTATTATTAGTATTATGGGAAAGAGTTAAAACCTCAGGGGTCATACAGCAACCAGGGGAACGGGTGGTCATGACTGATCCAAAGCAGACGAAAGCTCTAATTCCTCTGAGAAAGATCGTCCCATCAAGATGGGGCACTGCCCTTATAGATGGGGCACTGCCCTTATAGCGTTTTGACAAGATTCGATCAAAACTTAAGAACGAACAGCTTCATGAACTTCACACCAAAGAACTTTAATCACATTCTAGATGTGTGGAACTTTACAAGGCCTAATCTTGTCAAATTTTGACCAACCAAGTTCTTGTAAAGCAGTTTTATAAAGCTCCTCTATGTAATGTGATTTTGTTAAATGTAATTGAAAAACAATAAATCGTTAATTGAACAGCATGTGCTATGAAAGCCTTTCTGCCCGATGTTCAATTTGGGTTGAACTCGTTCAATCGTATTTATCCCAAAAATTGCATCAGTTTATCAGAAAGCTGATATCAATTCCTTAATTTTCCAATAGATCGTACTCTCAAACAATCAATTCGGCAGATGATAGAGGGGGAGCAGGTGGTCGATTGTAGAGACTGCGGTGGATGGGGACTGATCTGCCGTGACCGCATCGCCAATAGACAATTCTGCATCCAACAGATGGAGGCTGCTAAAAACAACTGACCTAGCGGATTAAACCCCAGAAAATCTGCTAAATTAAAAGTCGACTACTTCCCCACCTTACAAAACCACTGAGTTTTTGGTGGATAGATGATATAATAAAAAATAGGCAACCAGAAGACTTATAAGGCTGAGATATCACCTCGCATGTGCACTATAATAAGAGTGCACATAAGAGCTGGCCAGCGTCAATGCACTACCTTTCTGCTGAGAAAACTTCCCATCAATCTACCCACTGCAACTCTTGTGACACGGCATAGCTCCTGATGATGCACCAGAACTGTGAAAGTTCCTGAGCTGAAGATTTCCATCCCCCATGGCTTGTCTTGCGTTTATATCACCCATCTGCCATTATATTTCACACGCACACATACGTATATACTGCGACCAGCCGGGGACTGAACCCAAGATATTTAACCAGCCTCCTGGGACCCTACCTAAATAATCAGTGAGATCGAGTGATTGTGTGTACTTAGTTGCTGTTGCAGAGGTTGAGTCATAGCTCCCAGCCCCACTTCTTCAATCTTTGTATGTGTGTGTGTGTGTGCGCATGCATATGAGTGTACGTGTATGTGTACAGGTGTAAGATTTGTTCTGAACACAATAGAACCAGGAATCATTTCAATACTCTTTAATACACACAGACAACCATCATACAAAAGCCCTCGAAAATACAAATTAGTATTATATACACAATTGCTGTATTTGTGGTTTAATGTACCAGCAATGGTGTATTTTTTTGAAAAAAAAAAAAATAGAACAGGCACTAAGGAATTACAAAATACAAAATTATTATTATTATTATTATTATTATTATTATTATTATTATTATTATTATTATTATTATTATTATTATTATGTGGTGTTGGTTGTCTGAAATTTTCATATTTTTCACAATTATAATCATCATCACTAAATGCTATGCCCATAAGCATTATTATTATTACTATTATTATTATTAATATCATTATCATTATACGGTGTTGGTGGCCTGAAATTTCCATAAGTATTTTTCACAATTATTATTATTTAATCCTCAAGAATAAGGGCATCCATCTTTCAAAAATCAGAGATTCCTCAAAATTCTGCGACTCTTAGCCACTGGTCAATTTCCGGCCTTCAAAATCATTTTGAAATTCAGTGCTGATGTCTAATTCACTTTGAAAAACCATTCCCCCTTCCTGGTCATCAGATTCAATTTGAATCATGGCATTTTGAATGAATTTTGGTTTTCAAATGAAGGCAAGAGTCAGTGTGCCTTACATCAGGTGACACTATGTGAATGAAGTAAATTCTTCATTCGGAAAATGCAACTTTAAGCAGAACGACTTATAACAAAATCAATTTCACCAGAGGCTAATTGATGTAAACAAGATGCGTCACCGTCCATCATTAAGCCTCTTTAAAGTTTCTAGTTTTTTAGCTGATGTCACACCTTTTTCTGTTTGTGTGTGGCTACAGACGTGAAGGTGCACGATGCACCTTGAGCACTTGTTGCAACAGGGTTAAATCAAGGAATATATGTAAAGCGAAAATTGTAAGATGCACCTCCTATCACCAGGCATTTCAAAAACAATGACAAATGTGGTGGACTTGTTGAACACTTTTGTAAAGTTTATTGTCGTGGATTTGAGAGATTACTGTATACAGTAGTCCCCCCGTATCCCTGGGGGACACCTTCCAAGAACTACCATGGATGCCAGAACCCTTGGATAGTAGCAAACACTATATATAAATCATTTTTCATTTACATACATATTTATGACAAAGTGTAACTGATAAATTAGGCACAATAAGTGGAGAATTAGTCATTTTTCATTGATGGGAAGCACTTTACAGCTTCTCTAAGACTTTGAACAACTGTCATCATCACTACTATTGTGCTTTGTGGCCATTATTATTAAGCAAAATTAACGCTTATTTTCAGGCCAGTATAAACCGTGGATAACTGAAACCACAGAAACCGAATCCATGGATACAGGGATACTATTCTATTTTACAAATTTTTATTTCGTCTCCACATAGTGGCCCCAGTTTGGAATCCATTTTTTTCCGGTTTTTGTAACGAAATGACATTATTCAAGAATTTATTGTATAGCTGCATGTATATCTTACAGCAGGTGACACTGTATACATGAGTACAGTGGACCCCCGCATAACGATTACCTCCGAATGTGACCAATTATGTAAGTGTATTTATGTAAGTGCGTTTGTACGTGTATGTTTGGGGGTCTGAAATGGACTAATCTACTTCACAATATTCCTTATGGGAATAAATTCGGTCAGTACTGGCACCTGAACATACTTATGGAGTGAAAAAATATCGTTAACCGGGGTCCACTGTATAAATATTAATGTACACTGTATATCTTCCAGCTGATATGCAACACAGTGTATGTCTACTGACATACAATACGATGTGTGTCCGCTGACATACAACAGTGTCTCCGCTGACATACAACAGTGTCTCCGCTGACATACAACAGTGTGTCCGCTGACATACAACAGTGTCCGCTGAC